GAATGGAAATATGTTATATTATTTTAAGTAATCCACGTACATTTTTTCAACTTTTATTTGTTACTTTTCGGTAGAAATCTGCATGGTATCGGTAGATCTACCGAAAAATCGGTAGACCTGGCATCTCTGCCTTCTACACTCACACTTCAGATTTTGGTGCATCGCGAGCGGCACAGCACCGCGTTGATTTAAGTCTGAACGCGCCATAACAACCTGAACTAAATTTTTCCAAGGATGATTGTTTCAAAGACCGAACATAAATTTATTGATCATAACTAATCCAAATTTTTGGCTAAAATTTCGGAACCAAGCCAATAATAAATGTTATTTATTAGGCGAACCACTTCAAGAAAACCAGGATCAACGGGAACAAGATGGTAATATAGGCGAAGATAACAACTGGATTCCTATGGAATGGGACAGAGCCGTTGAAGAAATCACATGGGAGCGGCTTCTGGGCTTGGACGGGTCACTTATGTTCCTAGAGCATGTGTTCTGGGTGATAAGCCTGAATACTCTATTCATAATAATATTTGCTTATTCCCCCTACCACATGGGGGTCTTAACTTTGAATCTGTTCAATTTGCAAGAGTATGCTTCTGAAAGTCATTTCGAAGGATTGGTTACTACTCTCGTGGGCTATAATAGTGTCGGTTTGTTGTTTTTGGTTTTGCACAGATTTTCAGGGTGGTTCGGTTTATTTGCAGCTAAAAGAGTGTTAGGTCTTTGCTATGTCGTTGTGAAAGTTGCGATGCTGTCGGTAATAGAGATCGGAATTATTCCGTTGGTATGCGGTTGGTGGTTGGACATTTGTTCGCTGAATATGTTTGATGCCACTTTAAAAGATCGAGAACAAAGCTTTCGGGCGACGCCAGGTACATCCATTTTTATTCATTGGCTTATTGGCATGGTCTATGTATATTATTTTGCATCTTTTATACTTTTATTGAGAGAAATTGTGAGACCTGGGGTTCTATGGTTTTTAAGAAACTTTAACGACCCGGATTTCAGTCCTATTCAAGAGATGATTCATCTTCCTATTCTGGAACACATCCGAAAGCTTATTATTTCAGCAGTTATCTTTGGTAGTGCCGTCCTTCTAATGCTCTGGCTGCCTGTGAGAATCATCAAAATAATTCTTCCAACTTTTCTACCTTATACCGTTTCTCTAAACACCGAAAGTCAAGTGAACGAGCTTAGTCTAGAACTGTTACTATTGCAAGTGATATTGCCTGCACTACTTGAACAATCGCATACCAGAGTGTGGTTAAAAGCTTTCGTTAGGTGGTGGTGCAAAATAATAGCATGGGCATTGAACTTGCACTCGTATTTGCTGGGAGATCAAGCAACTACTAACGAAAATGTAAGAGACAATGCAGACAGGCCAGACAATGTTCCTGGTCAAGATGGTGGAAATCTAGGAGCTGTACATCAAGCCTTATTCATGATGGAACCCCCCACTGGTAAGTTGAAAATAGTGATTTTGTCTAACTTTACAATTTCATTGTCTTACGAAGATGTATTTTATATCAAAGTTTCCGTTGAATGTATTTCAAACTGTTTTCAACTGAATACTCAGTCCCATTTTAAAGCTATATCAGTAATAGCGAGCAATTTTTCAATTACAATGTGTTGTGCACAAACACGACTGTGGTCATGAATAGTTGTTTTAACTGGACAATACATTACGCTTTTAAAGAGGATTTGCGTATGTGTCTGATAGTGAGCCCTCTTCAATGTGTCTAGAAAATGTTAACGGATTCTAACTTTTGTTCAGAGAGTAGCTTTACAAACAAAATCGTATTTAAAAAAAAAATTCTTCAGTCCTATAGTTCAAGTTTAACTTGTGTATTTCGAAAACCGTCCAGTTCTGAATACCTTGGCAACACCTTGTATATTAGGAGTTTTATCAGGTTTCTGTTTTCAAATCGTTTTTGATGATTTTTTTTTCCTCACAAGTATTTTTTGAAAAGAACCAAATCGATTTTTCGAAGCGATAGCGAGCCCTAGGATTTATCAATCATATTATCTTTGTTTAAACTTAATTTATTGGCTCTTAATATTTATATTATACATGAACCATTCTGCTCTATTACCGCTTTTTATTTATCAGGTAGCTTTACTATAGATAAGTTCTATACTGTTCAGGCGGATTCATTTTTTTACAAACTGCTTGATGGGTATTTCGCCTCAAAAATTTTCTCACGTCTTTTATTACAGATTGATAAATAGTGTTCCAATTTCGCAATAATAACGAATTATTTATCAAAAAGTAATCAAGAACTATAACTAGCATATATCTATTAAATATTTATACGCAGGTGTTTATAATTAATTTGAAAAAAAAATTATTCACATTACTGGCGTTCACAGAATTCATACACCGGTGACAAACATTCAAGTCCGTATTAAAAAAAAATAAGTTTATTATGGTGGGCCAAAACGGAAGCATTAAATTCCCGATCTGATTTATATTGAAGGGAATTAAAAATTGTTCTATAACTGTGACAGTTATTTTTGCATGTTTCTCGAAATAAGCTCAGAGAAAAATAAAAATGGTTTTCATTTATTTCAAGACTAAGACCTTGAATTCGTTCATAGTTAAATTGAGAACGAAAAAGGTTTTACCTTTGCTAATAAACGCACAACATAAACGTACTTTAAAAAATAAAAATAGTTCTTGAAATCGCGAAAAACTTAGATTGTGGTCTTCACAAGAGCTTAAACTTTGAGAAATTACTCGTGCTTGCCCCAGCTATACGCCGAAAAAGTCGTTCGAACTTGGAAAATTTGGTTTGTTTCCAAATAAATGAAGAACGAAATTTTATATGTGAAGTTTTAAAGCGCAATGTTATTAATTTGTCCATTGTCCAATTTATTCCCGATTTAACTTCGTATCATTTACGGTTTCTCCTTATCTTGGGCACATATACGGATCGAGATTTAGGATACGAATCCGTATTCACTTGAAAACATCCGCGTAAGGCAATGAAAAGACGAGTAAACCTACATTGTTAATTGAATGTGCTGTTACCAAGTGGCTGAAATTTATATTTGTTTCAGGATATCAACCATACCAGCGTCCAAAATTCTTTCACGCTCGCTTATTCTTTTTATTAGTAACAGTGTGTTGCTCTCTGGTGTTATTTTCGGTTATGGCTCTCACTGTGCCAGTTTGGTTAGGGCGCCGCGTTATGACGCTGTGGCTTGTTGGAGCACCGCCTCCAGGTCCCCAAATATCCGCTAACGCAGCCAATACTGAAGTTAAAGTGCACGAGCTGTACACCGCTGCATGTGGGCTGTATTTATGCTGGGTGGCAGCTCGTGCGGTAACTTTGGTTTCAAGTTGGCTGCCGCAAGGAAGAGCCGCGATGTTAGATAGATTGAAGCAATGGTGTTTGTTGGGATTGAAGACCATCGCGGCCAGTGCTTTGCTACTAGGAGTTATTCCGCTTTTGTTCGGTTTGCTTTTAGAGTTGGTCGTAATAATTCCATTACGCGTTCCAATTCATCAGACGCCAATTCTTTTTATATGGCAAGACTGGGCGCTTGGCGTTCTCTACACCAAAATTGCCTGCGCCGTTACTATAATGGGCCCTGATTGGTTTTTGCGAGCAGCTATAGAACGAGCCTACCGTGATGGCATTAGAGACATGCACTTGTCCTTTGTTTTCATGGAACTTGCTCTGCCCGTTATAGTATGTCTAGGCTTTGCATTAGCAATACCATATGTAATGGCTTATTCAATAATTCCGCTATTCGTCACGAACTTACAGTTCAGAAATGTAATTGCTCGAAGGCTGTATCCGTTCCTACTTCTAGTAGCCACAGTAAATACTATCATAGTTTTGCAAATTAGACAATTCAAAAAGTTGTATGAGCATATTAAAAATGATAAGTATTTAGTAGGGCAAAGGCTGGTGAATTATGACCACAGAAAAACTAAATCTCAAACTTCTGCAACTTAGAATACGGAAGAGTTTTAAGTCTGTCTTTTGAAAGCGCTTGATTTGTGAGTTATGATGTTACTGCTATTGTGTTTGTTTTTTCTATGACAAGCACTGTATTTTATTAAACTTTTAGTCAAAAGTCGATTTTCTGCAGATTATACTTCAGAATCTAATACATTTACAGAACTATATAATGCAATTACATCGAACAAAACAATTCAAATAGCCACAACATCATAGCTGAAGTCCTGTAAAAAAGCTTGTATCAAGTTTAGTTGTAAATGAATATTATTATGGTATTGATGTTGTCAATGCAGTAAGACTTGAAATTTAGGTTCTAAGAGAATATGAATTGCTTATTATATTTGTTAAAGGAACAGTGAGGCTAAGAACTGTAGAGAAGACATTACTTAAATACCTGCAATTACGGAATGTTTGAATAGTCAACAAGGTTTCTACATAATGACTGTTCTATGATATATATGATTAAATAATTCTGTGATATACGTAATTCACTAAACCTTTAGTTAAAAGATGGTCCTTAAAATTACAATTTGAAAGTGGCACGGAACCAGGTTTTTAATGTAAATATCTGTATCTAAATTCAGAGATTGAACGTAGGTTGCTTAAGCTTCAGATTCATTGATCAGTTCAGGTAATAGTTCTTTTTTGTAAAATTTACGCTTAACGACTACTGTTCAGTGTATTATAATAATTTTATCAGGATTTCTACAAAAATATAATTTTTATGACAAGGTTTTACCATATATACATGCTGAAAGCGATAATAGAAACCTAACCTTGAGAAACCTTAATTTTTCGTTTATTTCCGTTTTATTATTTCAGAATCAGCCCTACAAATTAATTGTATTACTTAAAACAGTTTAATTTTCGGAATATAGTCGCTCGTATTTCGATTAACCATTATATAGACGATTTTTTTCACTGTGTAAAAAACCTAAAGCATTGTAATCTGTAATTGTTCCGTTATATTATTTGGATCTGGATTTTCCTCAGAAATAAATATTTTTATTAAACAAAATTTGTGACATCGTGTGGACCTAATTTTTCACTGTATTCAGTGTGTCCCAAATTTGATCCCCCGTTTTAATATCAAATAAAAACACTAAGAAGTAAACTAGCACAGTTTCAGAAGTTTTTATAGGGATTTGAATTTTCCAAAAAAGTCAAGGTTAAATGCTACCAATTTAGGTGAATTTATGAAAAGTTAAACTTGAATGTTTGGTTTTTTTTCAAATATTTGAATACTTATTGGGATGCTTAATGCATTTTTACACCAATTTATCCGCGAAATATTTTTAAAAAATTGTAGTCTTCTTAGTTTTACTGTGTTGAAATATACCTTTGATTCATTTCAAAGGTGTAATTTGCTCTAGGGCGCATTGGCTAAATAAACGCATTTGTATAGCGCAAAGCAAAAGTGTTGACAAATGAAAAAACCCAATTATTTTTAAAAACTAATTACTGATTAACACCTGGAAAATCTGCTCTCTTTGATGCGAAAAATGGATTGGTCATTCTGAAAGTATTTATTTGGCAAGTGATTCAAGCGAGCATGAATCCGGTTGACGCAAATAAACTTTCTAACTCGATAATTTATTAACAATGTGATTAAAGGATGTAGGCGGTTCAGGCGTTGATGTTCTGATAATATCTTAACGTTTACCTAGTCTGTCTACAATAAAGTCCCAGTATAGATATAGATGCATGACAACTTCGTCTATAATTTTCCCATGTAAACGTCGAAAATTTGCTAATTCTGAAAATTATGGTGATTAAAACCTACACATCTCAAAACATTTGTAAGAAAATTTATGAAAAACAGAAATTTAATATTGCAATAAAATAAGTAAAGTTGCTGCAGCTTTGCTAATATAACCTTTCGTCGAGCCTTTTGTGCTGCTGGGAATCGAATTTGAAACACACTGTATATATTTGTAAAGCTAAACATTTATTCAACATCAGCATATTCTCATGTTTTCCACGGTTACTTTAGATTTCCTGTGAGCGACAATCGCAATGCTTTATAGGTTTTATTATGTCTATTTTCGTAAAATAACTTGAAATCTTATTTACGCCATCATCTAACAATAATTACTGTTATAAATTAACACTACTAGTTTTGGTTGGATTGTTTAAGGGTCCATTATCCAAAATAGTGCTAAAATTCTGGTTTGGCAGTACATAGTGTATGTCATAAAATCCAGATGTACTAAATAGGTTCAGTTAATAGAAATACGTTTTAGAAACTGGTTTCATTAGGCAAGTGCCTCAGTGATCAGATTTTAAAAATCCACACCGTATTTCGCTTAACTATATTCAGCACAATACTTATTTTCATTCAAATTCCTTAATCACATTTCCATTACTGTAAAATCTGTAAATTTAAAGTAAGATATACTATAATAGCATTATATAGTGAGTGTCTGCGAATTAATTAATATAGCTAAAAAGATACAATATCCGCTACTGTTTTTTCCCCAAACCTATATGTAGAGATAGGTTTTAGGTACGGTTATTAATTCGTAGACGCTCTACAGAATAGTTGGATCAGATCTGCATATTTATAAAATCATTAAGTATTAATTAGCGTTTTATTTATATGTTTAGTTTAAAAGAGTTTTAAGAAAACCATCAAAAGTTTTTCTTCAATCGGCAAAACGCTTCTATTAAGGTAAACAGTTACTTACATTAATAGACTTTTCGCAGGACGTATTTCGCAGACAACCCCGAGTTCTACAGTTGATAAAGGTAAAATTTTTACTTTTGTAAAGAGCATACATCTAAAAAATTTCATTATATTCCAGAGCTGGATGGTTTCAAGTAAAATAAATAATTTCTAAAGCATAACTTCTTAATTGTTAGAGTTTTTTTTGTTTTGAACACGCCCATAAGTTGGTGTTCTTAATGTTCGAAATAGTTAAATATAATTTATAATCCGGCTTGAAAGTTAAGGAGGTAATTTTATCTGAACTAAAAATCTTTTACTTCTTGTTCAAACAGAATACCTCAAGCGCTGAAGAAGGTAATGAAGGGGCTTAGGAGCTAAATACTATAGAACAATTCGGGATTAGACCTACTAGCTAATAGAGCCCAGGTAAGTGGCATAGCAGACTTTTACATAGAGCAGTGTATTTTGATCTACAATATTACTTACCCACCCTTTTGACTACTTGTATTCGAACGCTTATAACTGTGTTATCGGGATTCGCACTCATCGCTCATTGTATGTACAGCCTGGATGCGTTTCAAAATGCATTTTCAGTAAATAGCAGAGTTGTTGATTATATAATGTAAAGGATGGTCCAAATTTGCTGGTATTAACAGAGAACACCTGTTTTTTTGAATATAACGTTTAATAGCTCAAACACCTTTGGAGAAATCTTCACGGTCTGCCAACGTATCGGGCGTTTCTCAATTGTCGACCTTTTTGTAAATTACCTTTAACTTTTTATTTCGCAAAATATGTGCATTCTGTTATTACAGCAGATTCTTTGTGTGATTGTTCCTAAAATTTTCCTTAGAACCAAATCTTGAGCCAAGAAAGTGTGAATATAAACTTTTATAGCTTAGTTTTATATATTTAATGTTGAGTTTCTTGATGACCGTGAATATAATTAGTGATAGGTGTTGCTTTCTGTTTTTCGGTTGATCGGTTAATAGATAGTGGCAAAAAAACGACTATTTTTCTTCGGCCAACGTTTCGGCTTTATTTAATATCGGGAATCGAGGCTCTAAAAAGTAACAAAGTGGTCAGTCTTATATCTGAGAACATTAAAGTTGCATTCCCTAACTAAGACCGTTGAAAATATGTTTCACATAAAAACGTAAACTAAAAGACCACCAGAATTAAAATCAAACATATATTTGGCCCAAGAAAAATAGTCTTTTTTTCTGCCATTATCTATTGACCGATCAACCTAAAAACAGAAAGCACCTATCACCTATTCATATATTTAATTTATAAACTAAACACGAATATGTTTAACTATATGGTTTTTATTACACTTAAAAACAAACAACAATAAATAGCATTTAAAAAAACAGCAAAGGAAACCATATTAAATTGCATGTTAAATAATGAAATGTATATATGGGGCGTATCAGGGGGGCATTTTTGTAATTCTCTGTGTTTGAAGATATATCGCTTGAGAGGTCAATAAACTGATTTCTTGATTGATTAATTTTACCAATTTTAAAAGAAATTGTTATTCTAAAATAACGAACAAAAACTGAGTTGTCATAATGAAAATGGAAATAATCATAAGAAAGTGTGAATTGACAAAAAGTTGAAATCTAAGGAAATGGTGACTTATTTTTACTTTATGGTAAAGGCACATTTAAGAAAAAAATTTTAGTAAACAACGAAGTGGTTGAATATTTAGTTTACGGAAAAACGGAAAACAACATAAATAATGAACAAGGAAAGTGTACTTTCTTGAGTGTAAAGTATCTAAAATTAGAACTGTGAAATTAATTGTCCATTGACTATTATGTAAAACTTGCTAGAAAATATTACAAGTACTTTTTCGGTTAATGTTACTACTAAAATCAACAAAATTGATAATAAAAGTATAATACAACTAATGCTTAAAACAAACAATAATAAAATACAACTAAGCGATAGCCTTTTCACATATCGTTCAACGCCCGGATATATCACAATAATGCGTTTTCATTTAGTTTTTAGGTAATAAAGTAAGCACATAACTTAAAATTTAAAACTTAAAATTAAAAAAAATACTTATAGGCAAAGGGACTAGTAACTGGTATACCAGTTATGTATACCACGATAGAAGCAAATTGACATGAAAAGTTGCTTTTTACGATTTATTCTCAGTGGACTCTAATTATTAGCCTAAATAAATAATCATAAAATTTTACAGCCAAGAAAGCAGATAGAAGTTCTAGCTAATAAATAAAGTATGCAATAAGTTATTAAAGTTCGAAAATAAATGTTTTAAACAGTAACAGTAACAGTAACAGTTGTAAAATAAACAGTTTAATATCAGAAATGAAAATGTATAATTCGCCTGATCTTAAAGAGTTTTTTTAATTACTGGAAGTAGCTATGTTTTACCAGCAAAACTGAAGAAACTGTAGATAAAAAACTAAACTGCTCAGCAAAATTACTGTTACTCACCCAAATTTTCCATAACTTTGGAACTGGATAAATTTTATTGCTTCGAGAAATTTGTTTTCTGATTGAAGCGTTATTTAGCCCTATTTGTGTTCTGATTCACCTCATAGAAATTTTCTGCAGGGTGGTAAACAAAAAAATGCAAAATTTTGCAAAGTTTGGTATGCTCCTAGTAGACAAAGAGTTTTATTAGATGCCGCCACCCAATAAAAATGGAAAAACGTTTTAAAATAATTCAAATAGCTCGAAAAGGTTTTTTAATTTGATATACAAAAGCTAAAACTTCATAGACTTCAATATAAGGTAAACATTTGATATTCAGGGCTGCACGAAAAATTACTTAAATCAGAATTGCCCTCAAAATCTGTGATTCTGGCTGACTTTCAGCTAAAGTAAAATACATTTTCCAAGAATTCATGGGTGCAACCCTGTTTATTACATTTTGTTCTCAAGTTTATTGCGAAATTTAACCTTCAACTTCAGCCTTCGATTTTGATACTCGGTTCAAAAGAAAAAATATATCACTGCAAGGCGAAAAGGTAGATTTTTTGGAAGAATCTGTAATCGAACTCTGTAAATAAACAGGAAGATGAGCGAAAATTAAAAAACGGAGACGTTCTTGAAGACATAAGGCCTATCTTCGCGCTTGTGGTGTAGAAATAAAAAAAAATCTTTTTTTTTTGTTCAACTCAGATTTGGATCGTTTCATTGGCCACCCTGTATAAACTTTATCTGACGCACTAATTTTTCGGCAAACCACGACTTAACCGAAGAAGAATTGCACTAAATAACCCTTCAAACATAAACCAAATCACTTGGAGCCATCAAAATGTATCCAGTTCCCAACTTAGTCCAAATTTGTCAGTGTAAAGTTGATTTTCTTGAGCAGTTTATACATGTCATAAAATAAAAATAGGAATTGCTTTATTAGAATATTTTAAAGAAAATGTGTTTTTTTTTTAATTGATGACGGTGATGAGATAGGAGTGTCGATGCAACCTTTACATCATTATTAACTGATAGGTAATAAATTGATCAGTTACGTGTTGTTTCAGTTTTATTTAATTTAAACTTGTGTTTGTTGAGCTATAATAGATTAATATTGTTAAAGATAATTGAACTAACGAGCCAACCGAGGTTGAAATATTTTTCCAAAACTGCTTATTACTTACTTAAACATGATATAACTGTAACCTGTAGCCTGTAGATTATTATTACTTAAACATGATATAAATAGCCTGTAGCCTACAGTTATGTATAGTCATCCCAACTAGTAGATATATTTGTTGGATCTTGAGATTTAATGAGATTGAATTTAATTTTCGTATTTGTAGTTAGAGCAGTTGAAGATAAATTTGATTGGTTTCCAAAGACAAGTGCATCTAAATTCGGATTGTACGATAATCCAAATGGTTTTACGTGATAAATCAAGTATTCCAGCAGGTACATGTTTTGGGTCGAAACGTAATGAACTGATATCAGGTTGTCCGAACAACAATCCATTCCCTAAAATAATGTCAGATTGATTGCTGATTGAATAAAACAAGCGGAGTGGAAGCACTTCTCACCGATTTAAAAGGATAATACGAATAACTCCAAAACCAAAAATCTTTCTTCATTGCTTTTAGGTTCAAAAAGTCGGTGGCAAACAGTGGAAGAAACGTACTGCGACCTTCGTTGTCTCGCGAATCACCCGCTTCTACACCCACAGCTTCCAGACATTTTCCCATTTCGGCGTCTTCAGCTCCCGTATTGTCTTCCTTACATTTGAGTGGGTTTGGCAGCGCTTCCTGCAATTTGATGAATTATTTCGGTACCTACTAAACGTTCAAATGGTACGAACTTCAACAAACCGTCTCAAAGCTTCTTTGCTCAAGACGTATCCCGCGCCACCGCTCATATATCCTTGCTTGGCATACGGTTTAAAGCGAAACCCGAAATACACCGGATCGTTGCTGTTATGATAGTGCAGCATATATCTCATATTTTCCATTATGGTATACCTAGAACAAATTCCATTAGAGTGATTATTTATTTTTTGTTTTGGAGAAAATGTCCATTAAGGCTTTAAAATTGGCACACACAATAAGCTATTGCAGTTTTTCTCGAAGATATTAAAAAAAAAATTATGAAAGTTTTCACCTTGTTTTGAAAGAAATCCAGACTTTTTCATAGGGTCTCCCAAAAGACCCAGTTCGTCATTTAAAATAAACAAATTGAAGTAGCTGGGGACGAAGGGGTTGTAAGTAAGTGACGAATATTTTCATAAAAAATCGTACAACCATTTCCGTGAAGTTGCGTTTTACAGTGTTTTTACATAAAATAATTCATATAAAAGTTTAATTTTATGTGGGATATTGAAATAATTTATTACTTACAGGGACTGTATATTCTGGAAATAAAAACGGTTTTCATAAGATTGAATTCGAAAACTTGAGGTGGATTTGTTCTCACGTAAAACTAATTTTGATGAAGCTGTCGCGTCCATATACTGTGGCCACATGGCAAATTCTTGGGAATACTGGTACAAAAATTCTTAGAACTTTTTACTTGGAAATTAGAATCACGGTTATTTTTTTTGGATGCATTAATCCTTTTTCGAAATGTATGTACCTACCCCTTGTAAAATATTGCAGTATCCGTATTCTATGCTAAAAAAATGTTTTTGCATCTTTGCCATTTACGAATTTTCCACGTATCGCAATGAGCAATAGCGGGAAGAATACATATAATTTTATTTCATTAAATAATTTTTATTGGCGCCTCAAAATGGTATTTGCTTTGGTAGTTAGTAGTTTGCTAGTAGTTAAGAAAGACATAATTCTCCATTGAAATCGGATGATGGTCCCGTAAACGTCCATTTCTCATAATCCCGAATTCAAATGTTCAATGTGTTCGCTACCTGCTACTTACATTTCTCATTTTTTATTACATTTCTGTATTATTCCATATTACGTTCAAATGTTCCATAAAACGTGGCAAATATATTTTGGCAGGAGTAGCGTAAACTTTACCCTCTACCCTAAAATTTTTTGCACTAATACACTTATGAATTTAACTACTTGCCCAGTGCGGATGAGTGTTTCCTTCGTCAAAGTATGAGTATTACGTAGGAAGAAATCCACATCACGTTTCATTAAAATCCATCCGATTTTACAAAAACTATATTTTTTTGAAGAAATTTGACGATCAACATTGGAAGATCCAGACATTTTTGGTTAATAACAGTTTTTGTTTATAAAAAAAAAGTTTTGTTTGTTAATAAAACCAGATGGTGAGCGGATATTTTCTAAAGAAAGCAGGGTTAATTTATGAAAAACGCTCAAGATTAAGTGCAAATAAAGTGACAACTATTATCAATAACTTTTAATGCAATAATATGTTCTATTATTTGTTATTTTATTTTGTAACAACAAATAATCAATATTTAGATATTTATTTTGTTATCACTTTTGTCGAGCGTCCCGTGACGCACACCATTTTTTTCTAATTAAATTTTGTAGACTGTTGGATCTAGGTAGGTGTTGTATCGTTTTTTTGCTGATAGCTGATAAAGTGCCAGTTTCGATTATTAGTTGATTAGAGCAAGAACTTATTTTTTCCGAATTATCGTTCTTGTTTTTATATATGTTTTGCATATAATAACGAACACTCAACACATAAAACTTAATTTACTTAATTAATCATATTTGTTTTATCATCATGTGTTAGTCTCAGTTTAACACCTTCGGTTTAGGTCTAATAGTTAAAAAAACTCAAAGCTGTTGTACTATATGTGTATATAATGTTACAATCTTGAGCGTATTTTTAATATTTTTTCTGTACAATGGCATTTTATTGATTTATCTAGTGAAATCGAAAAGGAAATGGTCCATATGCAAAATCGTTTTTCATTTAAAGATTGATAGGCAACAGCTTAACAAAAAACAGCTTTGTATTATGGATTTGACTTTCTCACTTTTTTATGACTTCCTTTAAATTTATTTCATCTTTATAAATTATTTAAACATTTTAGTTAATATTGAAACCATTCAATTAAAATGCACCCAGTAGGTATAGTCCAGAAAAATGCCATTTGAAAATTAAAGAAAACGAATTCAAGAGCTAATTTACTGCATCTGTAATTTGTCTAATTCTTAGCTGAACTAAATGTGTATTAATTCCTGTTTTTTTTTTCGTGTAACTTACGTGTCGTCGTCTGCTTTGAAGAACCAGTCTGCTTCATCATAGTAATGCTCGTAAAGGTATTTAAATGCTTGTTTGGTCTTTCCCCATAGATTATTTCGATCTTCGATCACAGGCAATGCTATTGAAGGCAATGAAGAATCTAAATAAATAAAATAACTGTGATGTCGCAACGAACTACAAGGAGTTAATTTCAAAACGAACTATTTTAAATATCGTTTAAATTTGAAAGCGGAAAAAAATATCATCATTTTTAAATTCCAAATAATGTAGGAAATCGGAAATAATCAGCTCACGGTTTAGAGGAGAAAATGTGTCATGCGTTTTAAGAAATATTAATTAATTAATATTAACGAAATATCTGGCAATTTATTGATTTTCCTTTTTTAATTCCACAATTATTAATCGATAAAATCGTCATATTCAATACATTATCTCAAAAGTTTAGTGCATATAAATTTTACACGGACTTGGCGAAGACGATTTGGACAGGATTGAATTTTGCAATTTAAAATATTGAGGATTGATGTTAGTTTGTTAAGGGATCTGACTTCTCTAGACTTTTGCTACCCGGTCATTTGAAAACCGTTGTGTATAAGAAAACACCTAATAAAATGTAAAAGTTGAAAGATGGAATGCAAGCGATTTTTTGCTTATATTTGACCAATTTTCCTACCAACTAGATTTAAAACCGACAGTACAATTACCTAGCGAGTAATTTATGAAATAAATTATAAACGATAAATCAGTAAATGTACAGATAATTTACATGACTCATGAGATATTTCTATCGATATATAATATAAAGTGTGTTATTTTTGTGGTAGTAAACCTGCAGTCAAATTATGAAGAAAATGGAAGCAAAAACTGACAAAATCTGACTGTACATTAAATATGTTTATTAATTAATCTGGAACTTCGGGAAAATCAGTAAATTTGTAACTCAATTTATTTTTGAAAAGTAAAAGCAGTCGGCGCCTCGGTATTCCAGCACCAAAAGTAACCAAATCGTGTCTCATTTCCTAATGTATTGTGGAAGAAGGAAATTATACTTTGGCGGAGAATTCTTCAATTTTAGTTTGCTACTTGCTATGGTTTTTCTTATTAATAATATTTTATCCTGCGTTCCTTAAAGTAAGTAAAATTTTGTCTAAAGCATTGTCTTCCTGTGCCCGACGGATACTGATGCCTGTGGGTTTTAAAGCATTTCCGCTCCCTAATTCGTCAGAAATGCCGGATTACCAAGAACCTCCTGTATTTTATACAAGTTTTGTGCAATTACTTGACAAGATTATTTTTTATTTTTTATTTTTATTATCTATTATTGCTATCAATATTATCTGAACGGAATTTTACTGCATACAAACGAAATATGATGATACCTTCTACCGTGCTCATGAATATCAAACGATTGCAGCGTTTTCCCCAAGTGGCTTTTACATGTATTGCTTTGGAATAGTGGTTTTCAGGGCCGGTTAAAATCCAACAGAAAACACGCACTTCTTCATACAGTTGCTTGGCCAATAAAGGGTTAATTGCGTGATCATGATCACGATCCTCGTGGCCTTCGACAACAGTGATTATGGGCTCTTCAGTATTGTCCCTATAAGTTCCATTTCCGTTACTAATGTCAATTTAATCAATATGTTTTTAGGGATGTTTACAACACTTGCTTTTTACACTTTTTCTTCTTGGGGAGATTTTAAAAAATGTGATGGGCGGTAAGAACAATTTGAATTGGCATCATGTACAGAAATAAATAAAACGGATAATAAATAAATAAGATATAGGCAAAAAAATTATATATTGTATTTTCTAAATTTTATGATCTGCATAGGCTAAAATTATTTTCCATTATACAGGGTTATTCACGCTATACGGCCCGGAAGTTTGCGGCTAAACCGTTTGATTTTTAAAAAGTATTATTTTATGAATTGTCTGATGCCTACCGA